TAATTTGTCACCTTTTTAGACGACAATAATAATTTTGTCACTTTTTCCAGACGACAATAAAACATCCTCATTAAGGAAATTGTCGATCAAGGAGTGTTGGATGTCGTGGAAATGGCTCTGAAACAAACAGAGAATATTCAATCTTAATAAAAAAAATTAAATTTGCTTTTTTTTTGCCTTCAAGGAAAATTAAGGAAATTGTCGATCAAGGAGTGTTGGATGTCGTGGAAATGGCTCTGAAACAAACAGAGAATATTCAATCTTAATAAAAAAAATTAAATTTGCTTTTTTTTTGCCTTCAAGGAAAATTAAGGAAATTGTCGATCAAGGAGTGTTGGATGTCGTGGAAATGGCTCTGAAACAAACAGAGAATATTCAATCTTAATAAAAAAAATTAAATTTGCTTTTTTTTTGCCTTCAAGGAAAATTAAGGAAATTGTTGACCAAGGAGTGTTGGATGTCGTGGAAATGGCTCTGAAACAAACAGAGAATATTCAATCTTAATAAAAAAAATTAAATTTGCTTTTTTTTTTTGCCTTCAAGGAAAATTAAGGAAATTGTTGACCAAGGAGTGTTGGATGTCGTGGAAATGGCTCTGAAACAAACAGAGAATATTCAATCTTAATAAAAAAAATTAAATTTGCTTTTTTTTTGCCTTCAAGGAAAATTAAGGAAATTGTTGACCAAGGAGTGTTGGATGTCGTGGAAATGGCTCTGAAACAAACAGAGAATATTCAATCTTAATAAAAAAAATTAAATTTGCTTTTTTTTTGCCTTCAAGGAAAATTAAGGAAGGGTATTATTATTGTCGTCTGGCGGTTTTAGACGACAATGCGAATTTTCAAATAATAGGATTTTTAGCCAGATAAAGAGCTACTCCATATATCATGCGTGTTTGCATACTATATACATAGATGGAATTGATGTTCTTCCTTTATTTAGGTACCGAAACATGCTTGAAAAATCTATTTTTTAGACGACAATGATAATTTTGTCACTTTTCCAGACGACAATAATAATTTGTCACCTTTTTAGACGACAATAATAATTTTGTCACTTTTTCCAGACGACAATAAAACATCCTCATTAAGGAAATTGTCGATCAAGGAGTGTTGGATGTCGTGGAAATGGCTCTGAAACAAACAGAGAATATTCAATCTTAATAAAAAAAATTAAATTTGCTTTTTTTTTGCCTTCAAGGAAAATTAAGGAAATTGTTGACCAAGGAGTGTTGGATGTCGTGGAAATGGCTCTGAAACAAACAGAGAATATTCAATCTTAATAAAAAAAATTAAATTTGCTTTTTTTTTGCCTTCAAGGAAAATTAAGGAAATTGTTGACCAAGGAGTGTTGGATGTCGTGGAAATGGCTCTGAAACAAACAGAGAATATTCAATCTTAATAAAAAAAATTAAATTTGCTTTTTTTTTTTGCCTTCAAGGAAAATTAAGGAAATTGTTGACCAAGGAGTGTTGGATGTCGTGGAAATGGCTCTGAAACAAACAGAGAATATTCAATCTTAATAAAAAAAATTAAATTTGCTTTTTTTTTGCCTTCAAGGAAAATTAAGGAAGGGGTATTATTATTGTCGTCTGGCGGTTTTAGACGACAATGCGAATTTTCAAATAATAGGATTTTTAGCCAGATAAAGAGCTACTCCATATATCATGCGTGTTTGCATACTATATACATAGATGGAATTGATGTTCTTCCTTTATTTAGGTACCGAAACATGCTTGAAAAATCTATTTTTTAGACGACAATGATAATTTTGTCACTTTTCCAGACGACAATAATAATTTGTCACCTTTTTAGACGACAATAATAATTTTCACTTTTTCCAGACGACAATAAAACATCCTCATTAAGGAAATTGTCGATCAAGGAGTGTTGGATGTCGTGGAAATGGCTCTGAAACAAACAGAGAATATTCAATCTTAATAAAAAAAATTAAATTTGCTTTTTTTTTGCCTTCAAGGAAAATTAAGGAAATTGTCGATCAAGGAGTGTTGGATGTCGTGGAAATGGCTCTGAAACAAACAGAGAATATTCAATCTTAATAAAAAAAAAATTAAATTTGCTTTTTTTTTGCCTTCAAGGAAAATTAAGGAAATTGGTTGACCAAAGGAGTGTTGGATGTCGTGGAAATGGCTCTGAAACAAACAGAGAATATTCAATCTTAAAAAAATTAAATTTGCTTTTTTTTTGCCTTCAAGGAAAATTAAGGAAATTGTTGACCAAGGAGTGTTGGATGTCGTGGAAATGGCTCTGAAACAAACAGAGAATATTCAATCTTAATAAAAAAAATTAAATTTGCTTTTTTTTGCCTTCAAGGAAAATTAAGGAAATTGTCGATCAAGGAGTGTTGGATGTCGTGGAAATGGCTCTGAAACAAACAGAGAATATTCAATCTTAATAAAAAAAAATTTAAATTTGCTTTTTTTTTTGCCTTCAAGGAAAATTAAGGAAGGGGTATTATTATTGTCGTCTGGCGGTTTTAGACGACAATGCGAATTTTCAAATAATAGGATTTTTAGCCAGATAAAGAGCTACTCCATATATCATGCGTGTTTGCATACTATATACATAGATGGAATTGATGTTCTTCCTTTATTTAGGTACCGAAACATGCTTGAAAAATCTATTTTTTAGACGACAATGATAATTTTGTCACTTTTCCAGACGACAATAATAATTTGTCACCTTTTTAGACGACAATAATAATTTTGTCACTTTTTCCAGACGACAATAAAACATCCTCATTAAGGAAATTGTCGATCAAGGAGTGTTGGATGTCGTGGAAATGGCTCTGAAACAAACAGAGAATATTCAATCTTAATAAAAAAAATTAAATTTGCTTTTTTTTTGCCTTCAAGGAAAATTAAGGAAATTGTCGATCAAGGAGTGTTGGATGTCGTGGAAATGGCTCTGAAACAAACAGAGAATATTCAATCTTAATAAAAAAAATTAAATTTGCTTTTTTTTTTGCCTTCAAGGAAAATTAAGGAAATTGTTGACCAAGGAGTGTTGGATGTCGTGGAAATGGCTCTGAAACAAACAGAGAATATTCAATCTTAATAAAAAAAATTAAATTTGCTTTTTTTTTTTTGCCTTCAAGGAAAATTAAGGAAATTGTTGACCAAGGAGTGTTGGATGTCGTGGAAATGGCTCTGAAACAAACAGAGAATATTCAATCTTAATAAAAAAAATTAAATTTGCTTTTTTTTGCCTTCAAGGAAAATTAAGGAAGGGGTATTATTATTGTCGTCTGGCGGTTTTAGACGACAATGCGAATTTTCAAATAATAGGATTTTAGCCAGATAAAGAGCTACTCCATATATCATGCGTGTTTGCATACTATATACATAGATGGAATTGATGTTCTTCCTTTATTTAGGTACCGAAACATGCTTGAAAAATCTATTTTTTAGACGACAATGATAATTTTGTCACTTTTCCAGACGACAATAATAATTTGTCACCTTTTTAGACGACAATAATAATTTTGTCACTTTTTCCAGACGACAATAAAACATCCTCATTAAGGAAATTGTCGATCAAGGAGTGTTGGATGTCGTGGAAATGGCTCTGAAACAAACAGAGAATATTCAATCTTAATAAAAAAAATTAAATTTGCTTTTTTTTTGCCTTCAAGGAAAATTAAGGAAATTGTCGATCAAGGAGTGTTGGATGTCGTGGAAATGGCTCTGAAACAAACAGAGAATATTCAATCTTAATAAAAAAAATTAAATTTGCTTTTTTTTTTTGCCTTCAAGGAAAATTAAGGAAATTGTTGACCAAGGAGTGTTGGATGTCGTGGAAATGGCTCTGAAACAAACAGAGAATATTCAATCTTAATAAAAAAAATTAAATTTGCTTTTTTTTTTGCCTTCAAGGAAAATTAAGGAAGGGGTATTATTATTGTCGTCTGGCGGTTTTAGACGACAATGCGAATTTTCAAATAATAGGATTTTTAGCCAGATAAAGAGCTACTCCATATATCATGCGTGTTTGCATACTATATACATAGATGGAATTGATGTTCTTCCTTTATTTAGGTACCGAAACATGCTTGAAAAATCTATTTTTTAGACGACAATGATAATTTTGTCACTTTTCCAGACGACAATAATAATTTGTCACCTTTTTAGACGACAATAATAATTTTGTCACTTTTTCCAGACGACAATAAAACATCCTCATTAAGGAAATTGTCGATCAAGGAGTGTTGGATGTCGTGGAAATGGCTCTGAAACAAACAGAGAATATTCAATCTTAATAAAAAAAATTAAATTTGCTTTTTTTTTGCCTTCAAGGAAAATTAAGGAAATTGTCGATCAAGGAGTGTTGGATGTCGTGGAAATGGCTCTGAAACAAACAGAGAATATTCAATCTTAATAAAAAAAATTAAATTTGCTTTTTTTTTGCCTTCAAGGAAAATTAAGGAAATTGTTGACCAAGGAGTGTTGGATGTCGTGGAAATGGCTCTGAAACAAACAGAGAATATTCAATCTTAATAAAAAAAATTAAATTTGCTTTTTTTTTTTGCCTTCAAGGAAAATTAAGGAAATTGTTGACCAAGGAGTGTTGGATGTCGTGGAAATGGCTCTGAAACAAACAGAGAATATTCAATCTTAATAAAAAAAAATTAAATTTGCTTTTTTTTAATATTCACTCTTGTTGGTCGGTACGTGTTATTTATGGAGACATTGCCACTGCAAGTCTCTCAGAATGGCACAATCTGCCGCAATCGCATTCTAATTACAGAACCTTGACCGACAAGAGCGTGTTATGCACTCTTGTTGGTTACAAGATATACAGTGGGAATGTCTCCCAGAATGACACATTGTTTCGCAATCACTTTCTGATTCCGGAAATTTGACCAACAAAAGAGCACATAACACTTTTAGTTCATTAAAAATATCAAGTAGTCATAAGAACACTAGAATAGTTTATTTCTGATAATAAAGTATACAAAAACAAAATTGAAGAATATAATTTTTAAGAATTAATGACATAAGGCAACTCTTCTACTTTGGTATCGGATTTACTGCTAACATACAAAAATGCATTGTCGTTAAATGCTTGTATGATTTGTTGAACAGCATTTTTGTCGATATTTTCAAATATTTCTTGTATTTTTGCAATTTCGGTTGATCTTTCGGGATTATTATCTTTTAACTTTTGTTTAAGATACATTTGGATCCTGTCAAGGGCGACTTTAAGATTATTTACTTCAGCATTCTTTTCCTCCTCCATTCTATTACTTTTTTCAATCATTTTATCCGTATATGATTGTAGTTTAGCTATATTATCTATGAAAGTTTGAAATTCTTTATTAATTAGCACGATGAATGCATTTATTTGTTCTTTTACTTTCATATTTGCTTCTTTTAGCTCTTTTAACTCTGTGGATAGTCTGGCGTGCTTAAATATTGCTTTGTATATATAGCCATCAAGAGATTCAGCTGACATTTAATTAATTTTTCCAACTAATTTATTTGTCACTTTTCGATCAATCAAGTTGTCAAAGTTTACTGACAGAAAATTTTTATTGATACAAATTGTGGGGAAAATTGTATAATTTAGAAATCAAAGATATCCATATCGAGGGGAAAAAAAGATTAGCAAGATTAGTTATATTGGAAACAATTACAATACCCAAATTTTTCCATTAAAAAAATTACCATATTTGAAAGGGGTCTGGCTGTCAGAAATTACATGTGAAATATTCCTTGGAATTTTAATATTATACCGTCTATTGAAGTATTGAATTATATTATGTCAGAAAGTGATTTAAAAAAAAAACTCATAATTTATCATAAATAATAATAATTTTTTTTTACAAAACTTCTTCATATCCTATTTCGTTATCTGTCCATATTTGAATACAAACATCGCAGTCGACAGGTCCATCGACGACGTAAGGAACAACCCACCAAGGTTCATCGATATCCGTGACATTGTAAATCCAGCTAGAAACTTCCATGTTTCTAAATGGAGCGTCGTGGAAACATTTATCGCCTTGGTACAAATGTGACACTTTCTCTTTAGACTTCTTCATTACGAGTTGATGCAATCCTTCAACAGCGTTCTTCTCGTAAAGAATATACATATTCGTTGGCTTTGAAAACGTCAATTTCCACTGTGTCAAGTATTCAGATCCATCATTAACTTTGTATTTAGAACCAGCCTTGAAAGAAGTTCTCATTGTATAGTGGTATCTGTTATCTGTTCTCAAGCAGAGATAGAATCTATCGAAGTGTTTCACGAAGTCCTGCAAAGCCATCATAAAGATACCATCGTTATTCGTTGACAAACCAAGGATATTTCTTGTTTGTTCGTTCCATCTTGGATCATTATTTCCCCATGGTCCTGTCCATTCTGTGTCTCCCCATGTGTTTCTGACCTTGAGCAACAACTCGTTCTTGTATGTCCTCAATCCCATGATTGTGTACGCGTGGCCTAATACAATTCCGTCACTGTCTTTCTGTGTATCACTTCCTGGATTGGAACCAGCACAAATGAAGTTGTGGTCCATTCTGTATCCCATTAATTGTTTCCACAAAGAACCGTTTTGGAAAGCTTCTCTTCCTTCATTCGTGTTCAACTCAATCATGTACGGGAAGTAGCCTGTTAAATAGTACATTGCGATGTGTGAACATCCACCAGCAATTGCTGAATAGCTTCCGAAATATTTAGCGAAAGCTTTTTCTATAATTGCCGGCCAATAAGCGTTTTCTTGTTTGTCGAAATGAACGAAAATAGGATTTCCTGAGTGTTGTCTGCATGGAACAACAGAATCAACAATGACTTTGTCTACTTTACCCATTCTATTGATGTTTACACATGAAATGTTTGCTTTGTTTACAATTGGTTTTTCGAAAATTTTTTCAATAATTTTCGGATCTTCTGCCAAAGCAGACAAAGCAGCAACTAAGTAGCAATCACCAAGGTTTCCTTGTTTGAAGGCTGCTCCGTTTATAGGGTCAATGATACTAGGATTGTTTTGTTCCAATCTGTTCCATGTTGCTTCACTCAAAAGTGAGCAGATCTTTGTATTTTCTGGTCTTGTTTTCTTCGGATACCAAGCGGGGTCTTCGAATTTCTGGTTTCTTGCTTCTAAACTAGCAACAGCTTTTGTGTAAGCTGATCTATTGATTTGTTTAAGTTTATCCTGTTCCTCTTTGAGCTTTCTAAGTGCTTCTTCTTCCTCTCTTCTCTTTCTGTCTTCTTCTTCTTGTTTCCTCTGCATTTCTTCGTCTTCTCTCCTTCTTCTTTCTGCTTCTTGACGTTTTCTTTCTTGTGCTCTTTGTCTTCTCTGCTCTCTTTCTTGGGCGTCTTTGGTCTTCTTGAGTTCTTCCTCTTCCTGGCGCCTTCTCCTGTCCTCTTCTATTCTCTGGTTGATCAACTTCTGCTTGGCAATTTCTAATTCTTTCTGGCGCTTGTAGCGTTCGGCCTCTTTGTTTCGGATTTGGGATTTGAGGTCCTTAAGATTATTCTCTGCTTGTAATAACTCTCCGCCGAGAATGTTTGCAAGAGAATTTTGATCATCGTTTTCAAGTTGGTTTCTGTTTTGAATTCTGAGTCTCGCTTGATTGGCAAGCTGTTCGTAGTACAAACGCGCGGCTTCTTCCGCGGCGTCTTGCTTTTTGACTTCATCATAAATTTGGAAGATCTCTTTTCTTTCGTCTACGCTCCAGTTTTGGTCCTGAAGTAAGTAACTCAAATCACTGATCCTTGCGTACTTCTGGTAAAGGAAGTTTCTGATATAAGTAAATTCTACTTCAGAAACTTGTGAAATCCTTGATTTGAACATCCACACTTGATCGTATTCGGCTTGTTTGTACATGATCTCCTTGTTCTTCATGTCTGTGTAATCTTTTAGCGAAGACATTTCTTCAAGAACGAAATCTATTGCATCTGCGCCATTAAATGAGCCAATACCACGTACAGTGTTTAATGTGTCCTCAAGGAGTCTGTTCGGTGAATATTTGACCGTAAAATTGGTTTTGCCATCTGATATTGCGATTAAAAGCAAATTAATGCATGGAATCAAGGCCAATGATACGGAAGCAGCTGCAAATCCATATTCTGGATGATTGAACAAAACATTTGCGAAAACTCCCCATAAAAGTGGCAAAACTTCATCAAATGCGAAAACAAAGTTAATTAAAGGTGTTGGATGCAACTCGTTTTCATAGTATGCTCTAACAGGATAGAAAACAGAAGAATATGTCAATGTTGCTCCTTGTAATAATAATATAATTGTCAAAACAAAGGAAACAACGAATAGAATGAGACAAATTACTGTTAATGCCAAGAAACCTTTGTCTAGCTTAACACCGAGATATATAATATCAGCTAAAAGTAAAATAGTCATGACAATTAAAGAAATTATTGCTCCAACGCTGATTTTATCAGCTTTTCGCTTGAAACAATATGTTAATGCTCCGAAGAATACAGCAATGGCTGCAAATAATATAACGCATGGTAAAACAACCTCATCTTTGAGGATCAAATAAATTAAACTTGCAATTGCGATGATTGCTGAAGGAATGAGTATGTAAAGGAATGGAATAAATGGATTTATCCATTGTTCGCTTATGTGATAAGCAATTCCATAAAGAGAACAGATAATAAATAAAATTATTAAGCCAGCAACTAATCCGTAGTACCATTTCGATACGAAACCGATACCTACAGCGAATAGAATGAATAATACAATGGAAGTAATGAGATGGAGAATGGCTCCACTTATTAAGTCTGATTTAACCGTAACAACGAAGAAATACGTGTAGAAAATGATACCTGTCAACAGAGCTGCCAATATCATTGTCCAATATCCACATCCTTTGATGACAAATGGTAAAATAATTATTAATGGTGTAGAAACAAACCAAAAGATAGAAGCGACAAGCATTGTGATTTCCATATCATATGCCTGTGATTGGCAGGTAGATGAACAAGAATTAATTAAAGATAATCTTAAATTCATCAAAGAGACAATTAAAATGACAGAAGCAGAGAGAATAGACACGAATAATGGTGAGAATGTTGCACGTAATGTTATTGCGTCATAAAAACAAGGCACTCCAGCTGATAATGCAATAGCAAGAATAATTGAAACGGCAAGAAGAGAATAAGCTGACTTTCCTACATGTCCTTCGCGTTGGTATACGATTAATAACCCTCCAGCACCAAAACCAATGCAAACAGCGATGATTTCTAAAATTAATGTCAAATTTTGTTGACTTAATCCATTCAAAACCGTCGGGAAGTTGGAATTCCTTGTCAATACTCCATCAACAATAGCAGCAATTATCAAAATTACGACGGCAACGTACTCAAAAATCAAATCTTTAATTGTGATTGATCTTTGGCCATGGTTCATGAGGATTAAGTTATCAATGATCTGTTCACAACGTATCTGATAGGAATCGTACTTCGAAAAACTCCAATTATCAAATATTAATTTGGCAAAAGTGACAATTATCAAAAAGAAGAAGATTATGCCATGTCCGATGAACCAGTAGTTCTTTGTGAAGGTGACAGCAACTGATTTAAGTACTAAAGCAAGAATTGCCAAAGATATCGACAAAATGTTGTTTTTTGTTGATGTATATACGACCAAAATGAGAATATCGAGGCCAAAGAACATAATTGCCGTTGCATATGATGCTGCTTTTTCTTCTTTCTTCCAGAAAATGAATGTAAAAATTAAAGCGCAGGCAATGCTGATGATTAAGTAAATAATTATATCGTACCACTTGAATTTATCGTCACTGCCAAAGGCTGTATCGTTTTCGTCTTCAAATGATCCGACTTCTGCTGGATGCATCGATTTTACATCTTTAATGTGGCGGCGTCTGCATACTATTAAGAAGCAGAACACTAATATTGGCGGCCAAGAGAATAAATATCCTGCTCCGACCCATGATAAAGTTGGGAGCTTAAATAAGTAAACAAAAGGTGTTATAACTAATGCAATATAGAAGAATATCAACCCGAAAATCATTTCCCATGTAATTTTATAGCCGTTTTTGGAATATGATTTGATGATCGCGAATATTGCAATGAATGGAGGTATTACCAATATGAAAATCAATCCGAATATCGATGGTGAAAACTTGATGAACATGATAATTCCGAATATTATTGATAATACGAATGGAATGAAATAATAAATCACCCAGGAAACAGCAAATATAGAACCAATAAATGCTGAATAGTTGTGAGCGATAAGTAATGAGAATACTGTCTTTAAATCAGTAAATGGTCTCCAACGGACGATTTTGCTATTTATAACTGCCCAAATAATGAGTAAAACCAGAAATGGGATACCAACACCGAGTCCTACTTTCAACATGAAACTCGTACTGATATCACCAGCCCATATATCACTCATTATTATCTAGTAAAAAAAATTTATGCGAAAATTTTCAGAGTCGTCAACATCTATTATTAACTACTATCTAATTAACAAATTTTTAATTCTCGTTAAGATAAAATTGTGAGATCTTATAAAATTAAAAAAAAAAAAAAAAAAAAAAAAGTAGTGGGGCTTCCAGGCACTTCGTGCCTTCTAGCCCTGAAGATGTTTAGTATAAATGAAGTTTTTATTCGGAGGGCTTCCAGGAGCTTTTCACAAATTATATATGTTTTCATGTTTTGTCACTTTTCTGTCACTTTTCGGGTAAAAACATTTTTATTATTATATATAAATGATTTTACAAAACCACCGTTACCGTTCTTTGGAAATAAGAGTAGATGTAAAGATATTATATTGAGAGAACTTAAGAAACTACCGAATGGTCAACATTTGTAGATTTGTTCGGTGGAAGTTTCTATATATCCCATTTGTGCCATATAATATTCCCAGACTCAAAGATTATATGCCATGACTTCGACAACTATATGAACCGTCTCAAACATATTCCAGACACAAACAATATATTGAAAGAGTTAAAAGAAAGATACCTATAGGTAAGATGGAACGTATACCATTAGATAAGAAAATAATTGTGAGAGAGGTTTTGAAAAAAGCAGAATATATAGACTGGATAGTATATCTGCTAGACTATTATATAGTGGTGCTATAAGGATTCATGACATTGAAACACTTATGTCAAAAGTTTATATCTTAACTAACAAATGTTTTCAAAGAGAACATAGAAAAATATATTGAGGGTATAAGATTTGTGAGATGTCATTGGACAGAGTTGATGAAAAAATATAAGACAAGGAAAATGTTTTCTTTATAGTGGACCGCCGTTCTATAACACATGGGATTTCAATACCAAGTAGACTGGACTTTGAGAGACTCTTTAGAAACTTTAGACGTTATACATAACTGTCCATGCTTTACTTTACATCCGATAAAAGTGGTTTGGAAACCGTTATGAGATGGTTAGAGGACATACATGACTATGAGTTTAATATGACAAGATGAATATGAGAGAGGTCCTATAAACTGGAGAAAGTGTCACAAAAAGAAATTTTATTAGTAAGTAAATGTGGTTTTAAATAGGACTATTGTTTTAGGTTTTTTCCATTGTGTCATTTATTTATTTGACGTGCAGAAAAGTACAGAGAATATGAAGATGAACCAATACCTGCAAATGTTCAGCATATGTACTCGTAAGAGATATTTTTATCTAATATTAATGGACGCACAGAACTTAGCGAATGCACAGCAACCTGGACAACCAAACCAGAGAATATTCCAAATGAAGTTAGAATACAAACTGCAATGGCAAACTATGGTCAATGCCAACAGATGTACAAATGCAAAACTGCCATGTCAAATGACCCTGCGTCAGGTTGCCACCATGGTATGCAAATATGAGATGGAAAGAGTTTTATACAAACCCTGAAGTGGGATATAAACAACTTTATGCAGATGACGCGAACACAGGAGTTGACCCAGAATTGTTTTCTACCAGAGGAGAAACAGAATGTATGAGCTCCAGTTAAAGAATGCTATGGAACTCAACAGGAAACGTAGAGACTAGGCGGACATTAGATTTTTACATATAGTAAAATGGGTTTCTTTTGAAGAATAGGAAAATTCTTTCGAAATGTTGGAAGAGGTATATGGAATGGAATAAAATCTGTCGGAAGAGGAATTTGGAACGGAGTCAAAAATATTGGTAAAAGAGTAGGTCAGTTTGTTGGTATTATACCTAAAGACCCTGAACCAGAAGAGCAAGCTCTGTTATAAAACAGCCTGAACCTGCACCACAGTCTAGTTGGCAACCAAATCCAACACCTCAACCGTATTAAAAAATTATATTTTTACCGTTCGATAGTAGTTGTATATGAAACTAAGTTCTAAGTAAAACGCATGTATAATGGAATTATTCTTTTTCTTCCATCTGTAGTAAACCATACTTGAAAGTCTGAAATACTTCCACTTGGTGGTTCGTATAACTTTGTAGTTTTTCGTAAAAGTCATTTGCCAAGCATAAGAAAGAGTTTTGGGCGCCAGAAAATGAAGCATGAACAATAATAGCATCTTGTCGAAAATATTTTCATATGTTTCCATTAGGGTTTTCGACTTCATAAAAGTTCGGTGTTACTGGATATTCTGCAGGCTGATTTAACATCCTCAAAAATCTATACCATGCCAAGTTGTTATATTTTGTAAGAAATTAAAACGTTTTCTCCAAGGTCTTCTATTCTATTGATTTTAACAGTTGCATTTTTCCTGTCATATATAATATCGAGATGGTACTCTCCTTCGTCAATGTTATACTGGTTTGCATATTCGAGATAGATATCGTTATTTTTTCTTGAAAAGCTTGAAGCGTTGTTTCTAAGTTTACAAGCAAACTAACTTGTAAAAGTTTTCCCTGTTCAAATTTCTCATACGTACGTTTTTCTTTTTTATAGTATCGAACTCAAACCGACCGTAAATGGGAAACCATGTATGGCTTCTGAAATGAACTTCATTCTACGAAAGCCAATAGCTTTTGTGACGGATGGGTCTCTTAACATCTTAATGGGTAGTCAAACGATAGCCTTCATGCTTTACGGTCTCTGTCTCAAACTTTTGCACATTAGTAAAAAGTTCATCTAATGGTTTAGTTGTAGCAACTCTTGAATTTTCTTTTTCTATTGAAAGCATATTTTATCTAGAATAAAAATGTCGAAAGATATTGCTTCCATGAGAGAAATACAACACAACCGACAACTCATTATGCAAGCTCTAAATAAGAACACAACAAACTTTTCAAACTATTCTAAGATATCTGAGTCATTGAAAGAAGGAAACTTAAAACTGACATTAAACCCAATGACAGATGAGTTTCTGTTTCAAGACAAGAAGAACAATACTGTCTGTATAAATCCAACAAAAGGAACCTTAAACGAGAAGCCTATAAAAGAACTTCTTTTGAAAGCAGATATTGACAACAAAGCTGACAAAGAGTATGTTGACAATAAAATGTCAAGTGAAGTGACAAGAGCTGAAAACGAATATTCTAAAAAGACTCATATACATACCATTGCAAATATTACAAACTTACAAGAAACCTTAAACAGGAAAAGTGACGTTGGACATACACATACCATTGCAAATATTACAAACTTACAAGAAAAGTTAGATGGCAAAGCCGACAAAGAAACTGTAGATATGTTGGCACAAACGGTTTCAAGTCATACCAGAGGTTTAATGGAAGATGGACAACAGTTGAAAGAGCTTGAGAAAGGTGTTACAGAGTTAAGGAATACAAAAGCAGACTCGAAATGGATAGCTGGATATGTAGATGCAACAAAAGAATATATTTTCGCATGGACAGAAGGAACATACCCACAAAAATATCATACACATAACATCTCTGACGTAAATGAACTACCAACAATGTTATATAAGAAAGCTGACAAAACAGAGCTTCAAACATTAAAGACAGAAATACTTCAAACATTATATCCTATAGGTTCTATTTATACGTCAATGAACTCTACCAGACCAGAAGTAGTACTTGGTTTTGGAACTTGGACTCAAATAGTCGACAGGTTTTTGTATTGTGCAAACTCTTCAAAGGAAACAGGTGGAAGTAAAACGATTTCAGGTGAAAATTTACCTGCGCACAGTCACTACATAAATTTAACTACAGCTGAAGCAGGTTGGCATAAGCATAGATATTGGGATTGGACAGGAATGACAAAAGGTAAAGGATATGATGTTAAAGACGAGGTTAAGTTTGCTATAAATTGTTACTGGGATGACACTCAGGGAGATGGAAGCCATACACATCGCATTACAGGGTATACGCAAACAACGGGACAAAGTAAAGACTACATGCCACCTTACATGACAGTTTACGCATGGATAGAATTGCTTATCGTCATTTTCAACTTCTTTAGCATATTCGTCAGGAGTTGTCTTATATTTGTTTGGAACTGTCTTGAAAGTATACCACCTTGAACTTTGACAGACGATCTGACAATAGTAGTTTTATCTTCTGCTTGCAGTGTGTACATTTTGCCATGTTTGCCTAAAACTTCATAATATTCTCTTGTATACTTTTTCTATTTTTACGAACACGAATGTGAGTACCTTCGTCGTGTTTCCTTGTTGATGATTACGTGATCATAGTAGTATTTTCATATGGGTCGCGTTTAGGTATTTCTATTTTTTACTTTGTCACCTTTCTGAAGTTTGAAGCCCGGCATTCTTCTTGTTTGTCTCTTTTGACTAAATTATTAAATATATAGTCTTTCTCTAAGTCAGGGTTGTTTTTCATTTCTTCGGGGAGTGGTTTCCAAACCTTTTTGTTTACGGTTATTGTAAATATTTAAAACTTGTCTCATCTTTGCCATGGAGAAGTGTCTATACTTGTCGTCATATGACATTTCATTTGCTTCACCACCTTGTGGTTTGGTTTAAGTCTCTTAACATTTTATACAACCGTCAATGCACCAAGAGCAGAAGTGTTTGGTCGACAATGAAAATTTGGTTTACATTTTTTGAACGCAGATAGTTTTTAATATCATCTTGATTTATAGTCAGATGTCAGTTTTGTTGGATGGTATTTGTCAACGAATATTGTCAAAGCAGATTTTCACATCTAAAATATTTGGACCATAATGGTATGGCTTCACAGTATTCTTGTTTTTGACCGACAAATATTAGCCAGTATGGTGGTCCATCTTCTCTATACCCTCGGAATGTTTTCCAAGATATCCATAAACCAAGCATTTGGTGTTGAACTAAAGATTTTTACCATGAGTGCTTTCTTTGTTGCTTAGAAACATAGGGTCCTTGTTTGGATTCGTCATTTTTACCCTATACTAAAAATGGGTTTATTTGGCGCATTAGCAGTATGCATCTAGATTTTTACCGCCAGTGGGAACAATAGCCAGAGGTGCATTTGGAATTGGAAGGAAGATTTTGAGTACATTAGGTATACTTAAGAGAAAGCACAACCTATTATACAAACTGTACAGAAAGGTTGGGAGGTAGCACGAGATGCAACAAATCTTATTTCAAATCCTGAAACAAGAGGAAAAGTTCAAGGATGGATGGACAATGTAGGAAGACAAGCAGGAAACTATTATAACAAAGCAAATGACTACTATAACCAAGCAGGACACTATATGGACCAAGGGAAAGATTCTTTAACAGAGGATTATACCTCAACATGTGGGTAAACAATAACACAACCTCAACCGCCTCAAACGTGGGGAATGTAAATTTTTTACTGAGAATGATGAACAATACAGCATTGAGACAAATGGGTTCAGATGGATTTGTCGACTTCCAGCAGTTACACCACCACGTGTTTTCAAGTTTCTTCTATACCTCAGGAAGTTTTAGACCGACTTAAAAAACAACAACAACCAGTTGAAAACAAACCAAACTAAAATTTTTTACTGAGATGAAATGACCGAAGAATTGAAACGTAGATTTGACACCACAAACAAAAAGTTCAAACCATTGTCAAAACCCGTCAAAGAACTTACAGATGAAGAGAAAAATTCAAATAATAGAAGTGCCAGGTCTGGAAAATACAAACCCTAACTATAAGTCATTTTCATAGAAATGGAACGGCTAGTATCTCAAAAAAGAAACAGACTCTCACAAATAAATATTGAAGTCTGAAGGAGCTTTCGAGACAACAGATGGAAAAGTTTACTTCACTGACCAACAGTTCATATATAGAACATCTCATTCGACTAAGTCGAAATATTTCTAAACTTTACAACAAACACAAAAAGTTGAAAGGAAAACAAAAACAAATGGCATATGATATTTATGAAGATGTTGACGACACAACCATACCTGCAAGTGAGGTAAGGTCAGGTGAACCGAAAAGTGACGAAAAACCGATAGAAGAAGGTGAGCCAAAAACTGAAGATAAACCAAAACCAAAGTTTAGTTTCCAAACTACTAAACCAAGTCAACCTTCATTAGCTGGTATGGGTTGGCGTCAAAGACTTCTGGTAGCAGGCGGTTATGTAAAGTAAAGAAAAAAACATTTTTTTATTTTTATAAAAATGCCCCCATATAGAATGGATAGAAAATGTCTGCTAGAATAAAAGCAGAGGTTACAAGGATATGGTTGGAGAGTTTCGAAGAATTTTAATATTAGAAAGGGAAGACCCATAAAAGTCTATGAGCAAATTGTCTGGTCTTCGCTACGAGATGGACTTGGAAACAGGTGCGCCAATTATCCAACAGACTAGAGAGGTTAGAAGAAGAACGTCTTATATGAACATCCTTCGATGTTAGTGAACCTCAAGTTGAAGGACACGACGGCTTTGCCAGATTCTACTGGGAAACATGACGAACAATTGCACCTTTAAAAATATATACGGTAGTGGAGGATGGTCTGCTCCCATGGAAAGAACAAGATATGCATATGAAAAGTATCGTGAAGTTAGAAGTCAAATTACATCTGGTCGAACCTTTACAGTAACTTTGACGAAGGAAAGAACAAAGGAGCTTCATGGAGTACTCTGCTGCCATACAAGACGGAAATAAGAAAAGGATATAACCTCAGACTAACCGTGACAGATTTGGACGGTCATATTTACTATGCACATGGCAATGAACAAACAGCCGCAAAACTTCTTGACGCTTTCCAGACTACAAAGAGAGAACAAATGGTTGACTCCGACTCAGACATTTTGAATGCAATTGAAGGAATTGCAAGTGTCAAGTTCGAATGGTACCAACCTAACCCTCAAGCAGTCAGACAACATGCTGGATACTTCCCGTTCATAAATAAGTCTGATATTGCATGAAGTAAAAACGTTTTTCAAAAAAATATTTTTTTTTATTTTATTTGAAATGTACGCTGAGTTTGTTGGAGAAGACCGTTGGGAAACTTGTTTGTTAGATGAGAAATATGAAATTCACTGTTGTGAGTCATTTGAAGTCAGAAACAAAAAGACAAAAAGAGTTTTAAGCGAATGGGAGCGAAATGACGGATATGCTATTATGAAGATGGGTGGAAAACACTATCTTAAACATGTTGTCATTGCAACTCATTTTATACTGAATCCTAACAATTTACCTTTTGTAGACATATAAACGTATAAGAAACGACAATAGACTTGAAAACTTACGTTGGGTCACTTGTTCTGAAAACAATAAGAACAAAGGCAAATTTGGAGATATTGTATTCGAATTTGTCGACGAACTAGAAGATGAAACAATTGAAATTACAGACTATGGCGAGCATACGTTTGAGTTTTACTACTATAGCGAAGAACAAGACTCTTTCTACTTTTATACCGGCGTAAACTATAGGAAATTACAAGTATATTTTACTAAGGAAGGCTATGCTTATGTAAGCACTAGAGATACAGATGGAAAACACGTTAGACTATATCTTAACAAATTCAAGAAGCTATATGGCATACCATTTTAAAACAATATATTTTTACATATATTAAATGCTTCAGGTTGAAAAACAAAGAACAAAAGTAGCAGATACAAAACCGTTAGACTATATCTTTACAAATGCGGGTAGGAATATTTCAGATGAAGAAATTTTATCCCGAGCTTACAGGTTTGACTATCCAATTCGTTGGCTTCAAAGTCCTTCAGATGCAAAGGCAATAGGATTTAGAAGAGTTTTGTTTTCAAATAGAACTAACGCGTTTATGTTCGCAGTATATTTTCATGGGCAGTATAAAGGTTCTGATGGTCTAATAGACAAATTTGATGAAATGAAAATCTTTACAATTCGTTCAGACGAAAGTCTTGAGAAAACTCTAAATGACTTTCAAACTCAAATGAACAAATATTATTGGGAATTTCAAAAAAAATACGACTCTTTACTAAATGGAACATACTATCTGAAACTAGAATATGACAAGATGAATTCAACCGTTTCATTTTCAAAAGATTGAAAGTTAACCCTCCAAGAGATACAGAGTTTTTATATTGGGGAGTAGACAAACGTTCTTGGGCACAATTTCTTCGGTTACTAAACCAGAACGAACCATTACACCAGATGGTCCATTTAAATTTATACTTCCACCAGCAGATTTGACAGTTTATAGAAACGTGTTTGACCCTCAAAATGTCATGTGTCATGCAAGTTTCAGTTCAAGCAACAACAGTTTTCTTTGTATTGGTAAGGACTTTTATGACTTTGCTTCTAAATTCTACGAACCACCTAGTAACAGTTTCTCTGACTTTCAAGTTTGGTTCACAACAAACGGTGTGCAACATATAATACCATTGTACTATGACTTTTATCTCGAATTGTCTTTCATATACAACTACGGAAAAGTGCTGAAAAAGTATTGAAAAATACTTTTAGGTGAAGAGGTGAGATCTCACCTGTTTTTTCACCTGTTTTTTCACCTGTTTTCTGAACAAAAACTCTCGAAAATCATGAATTTTACACCAAAAAATACTTTTAGGTGAAGAGGTGAGATCTCACCTGTTTTCTAACCTGTTTTCTCACCTGTTTTCTAACCTCTCGAAAATCATGAAATTTACACCAAAAAATATAATTTAGGTGAAGAGGTGAGATCTAACACGTTTTCTAACATTTTTTCTGAACAAAAACTCTCGAATTTTGTATAAAAACCAACCGCCGGAATTCCGGCGGTTGCTATATTCTTCACAAAATGCTTGTTTTGAGGTCGAGCCACTTTTGGCTCCACCTGTTTTCTAACCTCTCGAAACTCATGAATTTTACACTAAAAAATACTTTTAGGTGAAGAGGTTAGATCTCACCTGTTTTCTCACCTGTTTTTTCACCCTTTTTTCTACCATCGTAGAAAACACACAAAACTCATGAATTTTATACAGAATTCAATAAAAATATAATTTAGGTGAAGAGGTGAGATCTCACCTGTTTTCTCACCTGTTTTTTCACCCGTTGAATTTTCATGAATTTTCCCGAAATAAAAAATAAAGTTAGTTTTTTTAAAAAAATATTTTTTATTTTTATTGTAAGAACATGTTAGCAACAACAGCACCAAACTCGTTAGTCATGAATCCAACATCTATGTTAGTAGAAATGAAAAGCTTCATTCCTTCTTCATATACTTTCGAAACAGAAATCCAGAAGATAAAGCAAGAACTTCTCCAAGGAGATTTAGACTGTAGTGCGAAAGATGAAGAAAATGAAGAATATCTTTATGAAATGCAGGATATTATTGACCATCTACCTAAACTTCCTGAAATACAACAACAAAAGCTTACTATTCCTGAATTCGATGAAATTGAAGTCAAAGCAACTGACTCAGTAGAAATAAAGAAGTTCATACGTAAGGTAAACTATGAGTTTCTTGGATTTCATTGCAACCACAAAGTCATGGACAAAGACTGCGATATGGTATATAAGAATGTTTCTGACATATATAAATCTGGGGAGTTTAAGACCTACGACAACTTTGTTTCGTTAGCTGCAAAATGTGTATGGCAGATAAGAGATAAAGATAGAAGAGGTAAGGTATGGAATGAACAGATAAGACCCGCTATGTTTGAGTTAAAGAAAACCATTGACGCCTTAGTTGTTTTAGCAGGTAAGGTTTCAGAATATAACGCAAAAATGAACCCACAATGTTCTAAATGTAAAGCAGCAATAAGGAAATATAACTATTCTGTCAAAGAGATAGAACGTATGCGAAACGACTATGCAGACTTAAAGAAAGAAGCAGAAGATAAAATGGACATGTTAGAATTTCTGAACAAAAACTATCCAACAGCAGAAGATTTCCTTTTATCTGACGTCAAGAAGAAGTATAAAGAAACTTTCGGCTTGGTTAAAACATTCGATGTACTAAAAGAAGAAATAGAAGCTACGAAATTGTTTAGAATCTCACGAATTCATAACGTTTACCATGTAAAACGCTTATAAATAATGAGGGTAGAAAACAGGTTAGAAAAGAGGTTAGATCTAACCTTCTACCCTAAACATTATTTTTATTGAATTCAGCACAAAATTCTGAGTAAAATAATTTTTAGGGCATGTGTCAAACCGTTGAGTTTTCACAAAATTTAAAAAATAACGTTTACCATGTAAAACGCTTATAAAATAACTGGGGTAGAAAAGAGGTTAGAAATGAGGTTAGATCTAACCTTCTACCCTAAAATATATTTTTGCTGAATTCAGCACAAAATTCATGAATTTCCTCATATGTTTGCTACCCTCGGAAAACCGAGGAACGAGATTCCGTACGAAAATCGTGAAGAATTTGCGAGTAGGTAAAAAACCCTGGTCGCCTAAAACACATGAAAATCGTGAAAAAATGACCAAAAATCATGATATAACTGTATTTTTTTGACGAAGAGAACTTTTACACTTCGTGAAAAAATGACCAAATTTCATGAATTTCCTTAAGATAGAAAAAATAACGTTAGTTTTATTTTTTTTTATTTTTTTATTTTGTATGTAAGAACAGATATGACAAACATTGAGTTTGAAACAGTTAGAAAGATAGACAATGACACCAAAGTGGTTAGAATCGGTGATTTAAACGTAAGATACTCAAAGAAATACAACAAATATTCTTTGTCAGACATTCTAACACCATCTGGAAAGCAAGCACACGACTGGGTTAAAATTGCTTCAGCTCAGAAAATTTTGACAAGAAATCCTGAGCTTATGATATCGGTAAGATTTCATGGAACTACAGCATATCTCATTGACAAAAGTCTTATACCAATAGTTTTGTTATGGTTAGATCCAGTTGTTGGATATAACTTCATAACTTATGGTTCATTCGATACGGAACGTTGCAGTGAAGGCTTACTTTACATCGTTCAGAAACCGAAGGACTTCAATACAAAGAGATATAAGATAGGAAGAACATATAATATAACTAAAAGATATGACAGTACAGTCAATAGAGTTAAGGTTGTGTTTGTTAACGATATGAGAGCTGCAGAAACAGAACTACTTGAAAAGTTTGAGAAAAGGTATGGTGCTCCCATGAAAGGTAAAGAAACTTTCGAAGTAGATGAGATAGATAAAGCTATAAAATTATTTGACGAAATTGCTGAAAAATACATGTAAAGCGTTTATTTTTGGTCTTTTATACAAGATAGAAAAAATAAAGTTAGTTTTATTTTTATTTATTTTTTTATTTTGTATGTAAAGACAGATATGTCAACAACAGAGAACACAACAACAGTTATAGTCCATGAAGCTATAAATGAAGAATACGAATACATACAGTTTAACAAACAACTCCGTCTCATTCGTTCGGTCAAAGACGATATGTACCAAATGCAAAGTATTTTGACAGCATGTTTTGCTCCAGACACTAAGCTTCCTAAAGACTGGTTTAGGAACCAAAGCACACAAGAACTTTTGAGCGAAGCACAGCGAGACATACTTTTTTCTGAAAACAGTGAAGAACAGCAAGGAGGTAAAAAACCCCAGTTGCCAAAACTCTATGAAAACAGTGAAGAACAGCAAGGAGGTAAAAAACCGGTCTTGCATAAAACACATGAAAATCGTAAAAATTTGCCAATAAATTTAAGAGGATATTATGTACATAGACTTCTTGTAAATGCTGTTGCAATGTGGGCTTCACCTCGTTATGCTTGGTATATTTACAGACTTCTTGACGAAATTCATAGACAAGAACGTGAAGAGATGGAAAAGAAACTTCATGCAAAAGATGAAGTCATTGAAGCAAAAGACAAAAGCATTCAGAAAAGAATACCACGTTCGGTACCAAAAGGTAAGGAAAAGAACTATAAGTATATGATTTATACTGAAGAGATGGAAAATGAAGAAGATAAAGATATGGTTATGTTGCATTTAGTCAGAAGAAACAACAAAAGCTTTTACGACCTTGCTAAGATTTACAAATCTGACAGAAATTGGTTCTATCGCGAAAACTTACCGATTTCAATGACACCGAATGAAGATGTGAAACAAATAGTTCAAGATACTTTACCTCAAACACACTATGATATGAAAGGTTGTACAATACTTACCTTCAAAGAAGACTTACCGCTACTGAAAGAAAAAATAACAGAGTATTTTGACAACTTCAAACAAGTAGGGTAGATGAACCATTTATTTTTATTGACTTTTTACAATTTGAACTTTGTTTGCGTAGATATGAATTCTGAAAGAAGTATGAGGGTCTTGTATGACTTTATACTTCTCCCAGAGTTCATGTCTGTCAAATTTACCTGCCATGGACTCTTTCATAAGTTCCATGAAATCGTCTTCGGACAATCCGGGGAAAAGTATTATGTCAGTCAGTATTCTTTTAACATCCTTACTTAAACTCTTTGCTGTCTGTACACAAATGACAACTGAGATGTTAAAGTGTCTGAGCTTCTTAAGAATTCGACACATGTCTTGTTCTCTGTTCTTTAACAAAGGATGAGAAGCAAAGTCATCTAAGATAAGAAGACATCTATGAGGGTAAGTCTTCCAATCGTAAGATTGCAATTTCTTCGAAATGTATTCTATCTCTTTCTGTTTGTTTCTGAAGTGTTTCTTCTCTAATATTCTCTGCATTTCCTCATTTGGGTCTTTAAACTTAGAATTTATATACTCATTTATAGCATTGTACTTCAAAACCCTTCTTTGGTACTTCTTTATCCAATCTAACAACTCAGTATCCTTTATACATACTAACTTAGACTTCTTTATAATATCTTTGAACGAATTGACGGTTTGGTCAAATTGACCAGAAGTCGAACAAATAACAACTAACTCATAGAATGGGTTCTTCTCATTTAGTTCTTGTTGTTGTGCAGCCATTTTAAGATAAGTGAAAGTCTTACCCGACCCAGGTGGTGCAATTAGACCTGTTATACCATTCTGAGCAAATAAGAACTTGTCATGTATAGGTTTTATCTGAGCATTTTCTAACTTCCTCTTGTTCTTGTTTAAAACATTCTCAAATTTTTTGTCAATGTCAGCAAACTTTTTTTCTAACATATTTTTAGAAAAATTAAAATTTTTATCTTTTAGAAAATGTCTAGCGATTTCGCTATCTATATTCGAGACAAACTTTTTGACAGCAAAACATCTGTCGACCATAAAATCTTACATAGTGTAAACAAGAAAGGTGAATTTGTTCTAAAGTTCTGTTTCTGGGAATATGACAAGAACCATAAAACATTAAGCAGAGCAGTCTTAAAATTTGTCAATGACAGGCTTGTTGACAGAGATGACGCCGATTGGAAAGATGAAGTCCAACAAAAGTTCTTAGAATGCAAAGAAGACACATGCGCTGTTCTTGAAGATGAAATAGAAAACAGAATAGATGAGCTATTAAAGGACGAAGAACTTTTACATAAATATGGTTCTGAGAAATTTGACATAACTCCACCAGAAAAGAAGAAGAGAGAAAAGAAAGAAAAGAAAGAGAAAAAAGTAGAAGAGAAGAAAGAACCTGAACCAGTTCCAGAGAAGGGGAGATATGACATGTAAAAATAAAATTTTATTTTTAGAACATTTCTGGGTCAATGTCAATGTTCTCTTCCTCTTTAGGAGCAAACACCGGCTTAGACTCTAAAATCTTTTTACCCAATTTACCTTGAACTTCAACTATCTTAGACTCATAATATTCATAGTCGTCTGTCTTCTTTGGTTCATAAGGTATAACAAGTTTGTATGCTTTGCCTTCTTCGAGTTTTGAGAACTTTCTGTCAAAATTTTCTTTGACTGTCAACATACCGTCAATGTATAAGTCTTCAAAAGTTGCACCACTTTTTCTAACAACAGCAAACTTAACTGGTGCAATGTTCCAAATTTTGTCAAATGTAGACTTTTCAAAATTATAGAAGTAAACATTCAAATATGCGAATGGAGCTAACTTATCTTTGACTTCTGTCATGTACTTATTTACTGAGATGAATTTCGTCATCTTTTCTATCGGATAAAAAAATATTTTTTTAAAATTTACTCAGAAAAATTTTTCTTTGTATATACACCATTCTGTACGTCTAAAAGACTTTTGACATTTGCCAAGAATGTTCGTTTAGAAGCTGCCATATAACCATACTCTTGACAATATTGTTTATACGAATCGTACAATGACCTTTCATCTAATGACACAAAGTCAGTTTCATCTATGAACAGTTCATATACACTCTTGTTTGCTTCTAACAATGTTTGTCTCTCTTCGGTATGTGGAATTTGTCTTGGATTGAACTTAGAAATATCTAATGTCATGAAATATGAGAACAAGTGGTTGTAAAAGTCAGATGTCAAAGTTTCTGCTAAGTCGTCAAAATATTCTGTATCTTGCATATGAGAATCTGACGTTCTGACAACTACATATCTTCTGTAGAACTTTCTAACTTCATCGGAACAACATTGTTTGAAACCATAATGAAGTTTGCAACATTTTCACAAACTCTTTGGTCTTTATACTTTCTTTCAACAACTCCAACTTTGTCTGTTATAAGACTCTTCAAAGCATCTGAGTTCAAAACTTTTGTTGTATCTATACTTTGAAGTTCATTGCAAACTATAAGTTTCATATTCTCAATTGAAGAGTTAAATTTACCGCAGATGTTTTCTAAGTTTGTCATATTCGGATTCGAATAACCTTCTAACAGTTTGCACAAAATATCTGTAAAGAATGTGTTCTTACCTGTTCCTTGTTTTCCAATTATAATGAGAGCAGTTTCATTCTTAGCACTTGGATGTTGTAAGATGTTTGCAAACCAACATAAGATATACTCATAAACCTTTTCGTTTCCATTGCATATAATTTCTTTGACATGGTCTAACCAAGCTTCTATAATATTTTCTTTCCATTCTACTTGTTCATATTTATATCCAGTGAAGATAGAATAGAAGTTTGGAGAAGGTGTATAGAACTTTATACCACGAACTGAAAAATCTTCAAGTTTTGACAATAAGATATCCCAAGCATCTAACATCTTCATGCCAACTTGTACAACTTTTATTTTCTTAAGTTTCTGTCTACATTCTTGTTCAGACACTATTGTTGCTCTTGGTTTGTTAAAGACAACATCCCATTCTTTCATGACATAACATTCTGGGGCAGAGTCGACATAAATGACTAAACGTTTCAAATTCTCGACTGCTTTGTTATAGTCTCGAAATGGACACATATTTCTGAATGCTTGGAAGTCATAAAAATCTGAAACATCTATTCTGTACATTTTTATAAAAATAAAAAAATAATATTTTTTATTCTTGACTTTGTTGTTCCATTTGTTGCATTTGTTGTTCTTGAGCTATTTGTTGTTGAAGTTGTTCTTGTAATACAATACTTTCACCAGTTGCATCTTCCAATTCGAAACTTTCTGCCGTCATTGACAAATACATAGGACATAAAAGTTTTACAGGAACAAAGTTTGCGTCAACTAATGTCAACGTTATACTTGCCAAAGTGTTTGAGTTCACTAAGGTTGAAAATTCTGCATTCGAATGAACAATAGGCAAACCAGCAGAGAAAGTATTGTTTATACGCATAAGTATCTTTTGGTCATAATAGTTTCTGTCGACATTCGAATAACACTTTGAACCTAAGTTTGAAACAATATATAAGATTGGTGTGCTTAATGTCAATGGAATAGACATTCCTTGTATGACACCTTTTCCTGTTATAGGAAACTGTTGGTAGTAAAAACCAGAAATAAGTTTTGTATTATAGCTCATATCGTTTATAGTAAACTCAGTCGGACATCCAAACATAATGAAACCTGCTCTAGTTGCAGCACATGTTACATCCGTCCTTAAAGTATTAAATAAGTCAACAAAACCTGTTGGTGGTATATCTGAGTAAGTATCTTCAAAGGAGTATTTTTTACCATTCACAACAATAAAATCTTCTGGTGTCAAAAGAGCAAAACAGGCTTTAGTCGTCATTGTGTTTAAGGTTAGTTTACAATATCGTCCTTGAGGACTTTGTAAGTTTGTTGTTATAGAATTATATGACTCAGGGTTTTTAGTCGTAATAGTATAAACCATTATGTCTTCTGCCATTTTTATATATTTAAAAGTTTTTCTGAAAGTGGAGAAGAACTTCATCTAAACTTTCACATGGCGTTTCTTGAAGTTCTCTGTCTAAGAAGTTCAAATATTTTGTAAAGACATAGAACTTTCCTTTGTCTACACGAACAAACAAAACAGGGTCTTTCATATCGTTCAAAAGTGTGTAAAGTCCTTTACATGAAATAAAGTCTATATTATTTTTCTTCAAACATCTTTCAAGAAGTTTTGACATTTTTACTTAGCAAATAAATTTTAATGAAATGTTGTGGTCGTCAAATATTTTTATAACGTCTGGGAAACTATTTTAAGTTCAACGTTTCACCTCCTTTCATAACGTATATCTTGTCAATGACATTATATGAAACACCACAGCAAGCAATGTCGGGTTCTATTTCTTTGATGTTTATATCGTCTGCCTCTGTCAAAAGTTTCAATAGTTCTTTCAAAACTTCATGAGGTGCAATGACATATGAGTTCACTTTTACAGGGTTGTGTTCGACCAAGTTTAACATTATACCTAAAGCTTGACAAATCTTCTCCTGAGTTTTAAGTTTGTCTTTCAGTTGTTTGTAGTCGTTTCGAATATCTGCAACAGAACTTAAGTCTCTGCTAACTTCAGGATATGTTGGTTGTTCTTTTACAGGAACAATTGTTATACCATCTTCGTCTTCGTATGGTTTCCCCACTTCAACATCTCTTTCTTTGACATTGACAACAACACTTTGACTGTTTGTTTGAGTTGGTGAATTTAACTTCACATCTGCCACCGCCATTAAACCTTTTGAAACACTTACGCTTCTATTTTTCGGAAATGACATTTTACTTAGAATAAAAAGATGGACGTATTTGAGTATCTCTTCGAATTGAAGCAGAACAAAGTTTATACTCACAAACAATACAAATACATTGACAGAATAGTTCTTTACACAAACAATGGAAAATGTTATAGAATAGCAGTCTTTGCTGAACCTAAATATTTTCATAAAGCAAAGAAAGTTGGTATAACTGAAATGGTGAAAGTTCTTGAAGCAGACAAAAATATAACTTCAAAACTGACCGATATTACTAAAGGAAAG